GTAGTAGTAGTAGTAGTGGTCGTCGTCGTCGCAATAGTTGCCGTAGTTGTAGTAGTAGTCGTCGTCGTCGTAGTAGTAGTAGTAGCAGTGGTAGCAGCAGCAGTACCCGTCAGGAGAAGCTTCTAGGTGTGGAGGTGTTGTTGGGACGGCGTGCTTGTAAAGGCTGTTGAAATTTCCTCTGGAAGGCCTTCCCTATGCTCTGGCGAGCAGGCTCGATCTGCTTTGTAAATTGGCAAGCAGCTATACTTGTATCTTCCGGTCAGTTAACACTCAGTAAACACTACAGTTAACACTGCCAACATGATGCAACAAATAACATTTTGTTGGTTTTATGCATTATGCATTAAAGACGCAACCAAACTAGTTTTATTGGTCTGACCGTTGGGGGGGAGGTGAGAAATTGCTGGTTTTTGCAATGTTTCGGCAGTGTTAACTGAAGTGGTAACAGTAGTGATAACTGAGTGTTAACTTTGGAAAACCTAGGAAAGGCGTGTATGCCATGTTGCCGTCCAAATCCACACTAGAAATTCGGCCAAGCCACCCAGAATTGTTCCCTTAACTGTCGGTAGCGGTAGTGGTACGGTAGTGGTAGTGGTTGTGGTCTAGTGGCGGCCGTGCTCGTGCTCGCAGTCGTGCGGTGGTAGTTGGGGCCGTGGCCGCGAAGGTGAAGGTGGAGGTTGTGGTGGTGGCGGTGGTGGTGGTGGTGGTGTTGAGGGTGGTGAGGGTGGTGGTGAGGGTGGTGGTGAGGGTGGCGGTGGCGGCGGTGGTGGCGATGTTGCTGGTGGTGGTGGTGTTGCTGGTGGTGCTGGTGCTGGCAGCGGTGGTGGTGGTGCTGATGGTGGTGGGGGTGGTGGCGGCGGCGGCGGCGGCGGCGGTGGTGGTGGTGGTGGCGCTGCTGCCGCTGCTGCTGCTGCACAGCAGCAGCAGCACACGAGGAGGAACAGGAGGAGGAGAAGTATTTCTCGACTTCATGGACTTTCTATGGCTATGGCTGGCAGTGAGTGTAAAGCAACTGCGCGCGCTCAAAAGCCAGTGCATCCAGAAAGGGAAAAACAAGTTTACAGCAATGTTCGGCGCAGGAAGAGACACGACAACACTTAGCACAGTGTGACGAGTAGTAGACGATAGAAATGCTTGTGCGCATAAACATAAACCACTGATCTGCCCCCCCTCCCCAATAGCAACAATGGTAATTGCTGTAGCGGAAGTGGGCTCTCGCTCACGACGACTTCTACCAAATACGGTTTGAGGCCCCGAGGGCCTGAGCGGATTCACGAGTCCATATCAACATTGCCCAGAGGATGCTACACTATAGAGGCCTGACATAATAGTGTAGCTATATAGGGACTATCAGGGAGTAGCATTGCCAATTTCTTATTTAAGTCAAGTCCCTTTGACTTTATAGTAGTTGTCCTTGCCCTCAGCCGCTCAGGCACTCAAGACCCCATGCAGAAAGATTAGTCAATGAGCCAAACTCGAAAACCTTTCACATCATCAACGCTTAATTAGATTACCCTAAGACTCCAAGCCACATACGTCGTCCCCAAGCCCTGGGTGCTCTCACTCCTCAGAAAAAAAGACTCAAAAAACGCCTCCAGGACGACAATCCCGAAGGGCTCGTTGCGGCTGGGTACCACCACGGCATCGCAGGACTTGAAAAGGGCCTCCAGGCTGCTCTAGTTCAAACTACTCTGACGGGCAAGCATCTGACCTTTCTCCATCTCTCTCTTCTCTCTCTATGTATACATATATATATATACATACATACATACATACAGAAATACAATAATTTTTCACACATATAATATATATATATATAACATATATACATACAATAAGCATACCCTTAATTCTGTGTTGCCTCTTCAACTAAAAAGAAGGGCCTACTCTTGCTGATTCGAGCCTTTTGGCGTTTCAGGCTTGACGTTTTGTTGAGGTTAGGATGTTGGAATTATAGTCGATGGATGGACATCATTGGGATTGGGGTTTAGGGTTTAGGGGTCTGGGGTTCAGGGTTAGGAAATATAGAGTTTAGCTTCCTGAGTTCATGGCCTGTAGAAGGCCAAAAGCAGAGGCCCAACCCTGCAAATCCCAAGCCCTCAACTTTTGCAGCTTGCCACCTTTTGGTTTCAGATAGTCTTGTCAATGACAGAATGTCAGGACTCTTGCCCCTAATTTTTTGTGAGAAACAAAGCCCTGACTTCGTTCTGGCGGGGCCACCGGGAAACTAGGGACCATCGCAGTCAGAACAGATGAGCAAACAGCTACATATTGCATGCAAAGCTATGAGAGCAAGTGCAGGGACCACCTATGCATATCAGCAGAATCAACGAATGCCCAGGGTTAGCCACCCGAAAATACTAGAAGAAAAAGCAGAACGAGCCAAGCTTCCGGCCTTCAAATGTGTAGTACCACTTTTCACCTGTGCCAGACCCGAGAAGACTCTCTTGGGCTTGTCGGTCGGATTTCAAGAAATCGGCTTCCAGGTTCCAGCCCGTGAATGCTTCAGGATTGCTGCGGAACTACTTGAGTCTAGAGTCTAGAGTGGTTCCATGGGCCCTGAGAAGTCTCTTTGAGCTTTTTAAAGCAGTCTTCATTCTTGCGGGACTCTTGGAGCAAACATGGCAAGGCAGACCTGTCTTCGAGGAAAGCTTTGCACCAGGACATCATATGTAATTCTCGGGCCGGGGCCGCGCAACAATTAAATACTTCAAGCGTATTCAAGGACCTCATTGGAGAAACAACCCCTAAACCCCCAAACCCCAAACCCTAAACCCCTAAACCCCTGAACCCCCAGACCCCTAAACCCCCAAAAGATGTCGGCCGTCAGGAGAATCAGATTGGGATCCTTTAAAGGAGGCGGTCGCCAAAGAGGAGGTATGCGAGCACTCAATGTGTTTTACCGGTGGTGGTTAAGAAGCGTTGATAGGAAACTATGGAGCCGGTCATGTAGGGGGCCTTAATAATTCGAATCGGGTTTTGGGGGTATACTGCACTCTATATATAATATTTTGGGGTATATTATACTCTAGCCATCATATTTGGGGTATATTTATACTCCAAGAATAATATAATTAGGAACCCCCAGAATAGTATCGGTAGTTTTTCCGGCCCCTATAGTACCAGCAACCCGGCTTTCTGGGATTGGGCAGGGGTCAGGGGCGAATGTAGGGGCCTTACTACTCAGAATAGGGCTTTGGGGTATATATTATATATTTATACTATAATCATCATCAGGAACCCCCCCCCAAAAAAAATAGCATTGCTAATTATTTAGGCTCCAATAGTAACAATAGTATGTTGGCTTCTCAATACGGGCACAAGGCACATCAGTCAAGAGAAGGAGCTCATTGCGACCATCTGCGCCCAAAGGAACACCGAGTATAAAAGCAGACCGAAGCAAAAGAAATATCGCACGGACGAGCAGCAAGAGCAGTCGTAGAACTGTGCGTCAGGGTCACGGTTCCCCCTGGTACTGTTGCTTAGCAACGATGGCTAGAAGAATCGGCCGCAGCAGCAATGGCAGCAGCTTTGGTGATCGATGCCGCAGTCCTTCTTATTCGTAGTGTCCGGACCAGGCTTTGCAAGCAATGATTCTCATAAACCCTCAACCCTAAACCCCGAACCCTAAAATCTGAACCCTGAACCCTAAACCATAACTCCACACCCCAGTGTTCTCAAGGCCCTGGCAGAGCCAGCGAAGGACACGGCGTGGCCAACTCCCAGCCTTCGCAGCATCCCCGAAATGAGGGACGCCGAGTCTCAACCGGGTCTGGGGTCGAGGGTTGAGAGTTTAGGGCTTTCAAGTTTTAGTAAACAAAGAATGTGATGAACAAAATGAAAGCTCCCCAACCACATCTGAGTAGTGCTTTCGAAAGCTTTAGGCTTCGATGGGTAAGGGTTGGGGCATGACGCTCCGGAGCGAGGTATCTTCGGGTTGTCCCCAAACCAAGCAACTTTGAACCTGAAATCCCCGTTTGCTGCATAGCCAAAAGACTCCGAGGACTGCAACCAAAACATCGATTGAACCAATAGTTCCGTGGTGGGCTCGTACGAGAACCGTGCTGTGCGCGGCAGGAAGATTTGACCAACAACTGAGATAAGAACTTCTAATGTGCATTTGAACTTGGTTTTGCGGTGATCAACACTGTAGAGACACCGTAGTGGCCAACTGACTGTAGTTGCATGGAAGCAAGCATAAGAAGCGCAGTGCCTCCGCAACCGACGGGGGGCTTGGAGCACTTCATTCCGGCAGCAGTACGCAGTATGTACACTAGACACATGCAGTGCGGCAGCATCGCCTTGGAAATGCACTCACAAAGAGCCAGAACATAACCAGTTTAGTGCACATGCGATTGCCACGAGTGGGCACTGCATGTGGGGCATTAAGTTTGAAGCTAAGGGTGCGTTCACCCCCCAACTAGAGAGCACCCTCAATGTAGAGAGAACTTATCATGCGTCATTATGGGTATGCAGGATATTAACGATGCGTACTTTGGGCTTTTCGACAGCGAACAGAGTCCAGGATTTGAGGTCTTTGAGTCGAGTGCGCCACATAGAGATGTGCTGCCTGAGCCACTCTCGTCGTTATCATCCTGCCGGCTGAAACTACCTAGGATTATGAAAGTTTTTACGATCTACCTACAGTTTCCTCGGTGTTGCTAGGTATCCTTGCTAAGCATGTGGGACTCTGAGGCCGAGAACTGATGCGCACGGGATTCCAGCGCACCCTTCATGTGGCCATCACCAACCTTGGCAGGAACATACACCGGGTCTTGACACACGGCTCATTTTTGCCGAAAATAGGCAGAGAAGTCTACTGAGGAGCCTCAGTTTGACTGCTCCATGATCTCTTCGACATGATGGCATCGCATAGGGAATGCTGTAAGCAATCTTAGCTGCAGGATCTCTAACAGCATCGTATACCTGCGACGGAACAGAACAGAGGAATCTGAATGACACAAAGCCATCTTCTGGTAAGGCAGGACTGAGCCCATAGCGATGACGAACTTGGCATTGCCCCGTGCTTGAAGGATCATCGGAATAGCCTCTGCATGACCGCTGTTGTGGCTGTCTGGAAATGAGCCAGCCTTGAGATCCTGGGGGAAGGGGCATGCAGATTGGGACTGGTGGAATCTTAGCATGACCGTGTCACTCGCTTCGCTCTTTGACAAACTCGAACAAGCGGCTTACACAACCCCACTCATGTGGCACTGGGACGCACGTCCTCAAACAAAGGCCAGGGGCCAGAGTACACGACCAGTAACTCGAAAAGCTCAGAACCCACAACCCACTCACTCAGCAAACGCGCGCACACACAGACACGGAAACATATGTATGTGCATGCACATATGCCAAGTCAGTATGCATGTATGTGTACCTAAACACACGGCATACCTGTTTGCACACAACACGTATGTGGAGAAATAAGACCTGACCTCGCTCTCTCTCTCTCTCTCTCTCTCTGTCACATCTAAGTACACTGACGCGAAGACATGCCTGTGTATGTACATTTGCACAGCGACACATTCCAACATATCGTTGCATTTGACTTCCGACCGAAGCTTCGAACAGCGAAGCCCCAATACTCGAACTCCGAAAGCATTATCATCATTATGATTGATGAATTAGAACCAATATAGCATACTACATCCCGAACTCTATGAGACCGAGCCGAAAGCTCCCATAAAGCCTAAACCCTCAACACCCGAAACTCTACACCCAACCACCTTCACCTCAACCTCCCAACCTGAATCTCCAAAGCCGAAGGAAAGGACCCAAAGCCAAGAACGCGGTCCTTTTTCTACTCACTTTTGCAGTACTCAATATGGGACTTTCCGAAAATAACGGGTACCTTATTTTGGGGTCCTCATAATAAGGATCCTACTATTTAGGAAACTATATTAGAGTCCCCTATTTTCGGAAACCCCCCTATCCCTTCTTGGCCTCCAGTAGCAGGTCTGGCCCCTTCTGCACCGCCAGGCGTCCAACGAAGAGGAACATGGGGTCCATCACGTCGAAGCCCTGAACCATGGCCCTGAACCCCCAAAAACCGATAAAACCCCCAACCCCTATGCAAACCCTATAAACCCCATAAACCTTAAAGCCCCATAAACCCTACCCTCTGAGACCGAGGTTCTCGGGGCTTTTGACTTGACTTTGGGGCCTTATAAGGGCTTATATAAAGGGTGAAGGAGCTACAGGACCCTTGTGTAGGTAGCCCTCATAGTCATAGAATGCTTCGAAGGACTCCTGAACCGAACCCGTCTACCACGGTAACCCTTAGAGTAGCCCTTTACCGAAACCAGTCAAGGCCCTAGGGAACGCAGGGAACCCGTAGTTTGAAGGCAAGTCCGGCCTTGTCTTTTTTGGTGTTACCCGTCCACTCGTCCTCCCACTCCATCTTCGCGATGGCATCGGCGTGGATCCCTTGCGAAGTGAGAGTGTGTAGGGCTTGGCCTTGTAGAGCTTATAGGGTTTAGGGCTGACCGTTTGGGTGTTCAGGAAGGTTCAGGAAGATTAAGTGCTCTCGAAGGTTTGGCATTCGAGGTCCAGGCACTTCGGTTCATGGGTTTAGGAATTAGTGGGCTTAGCTTGCTTTTGTTAAGAGTTCAGGGCTTAGTGGGTTTAGAAATTTGTTGGAGAGGTAATAAGGTTAGGCGTTAGGCAACCACGACGAGCCGACAAAAATCTTTGGCCAGGGAAGGGGCAAAAGTACCTGAGATATTGGCGGTCATCATAATATAATTTTGAGTCTAAGTACACACTACACCCTGAATCGGAAGCTTCGGAAGCCCAATCAAACGATCGAAGGAATCAAACCAGATAAACCAGCCAGCCTAATATCACTCACTCCACCAGCATGGCATCTGAGTGACCATGACTGCATGGCCCGTGTACACGATACATAACAAAAGGCAACACCACCACAACCACGGCACAATTGCCATCTCAAATGCGATATTTTCGACCACGATGGACATGCTGCTGCTGCTGCTGCTGCTACTCCTAGTCGTACCGTCCTTCGGTCCAACACTAAGCTCCAGTACTACCACTCCAACTGCTAAAGATACTGATGCTACTGGCATTGGGAATACTAGCCGAACCGAAACATCGACGACCTAGTCTAGAAGCTCGAACTCTACTACGACTCCGAGAGCTACTGCTCAGGGGCCGGCCATTGTAGATCACTTCGATTTTGGCCCCGTGGACTTGGTAGTGAGAACAGACCTCGGCAAGAATTAAAGATCTTTAGGGTTCCTTATTGTAATTCTAGTAGATCCCTTGAAGGGGTTTCTATAAAGGGCTACTACAAGGGTTACATCGTTTAACAATGGCGGAACGATTGATGCCGCAGTGCCACCAGATCCAGCCGGGCTTGCCCACGTCACAGGCGAAAATGCTATGGGCTTTCCCCCTCAGCACTTTCAGCCTCCTGGGTTCAACCCTGCACCCTCAAGCCCTTTCCAGTACATAGCCCTTGTGCTATATAACCCTGCAGAGATAGGAAGGAGCCCTTTATGGGAACCCCCCTTTCAGGGAACCCAACCTCCTCTTTCAAAACGCCGGAGACCGCGATGACACGCTGGGCAGAATGGCAGGCCTGGCCCTCGATTTCACCTCAGAGCGTTGGAGAACATGGGGCTTCAGGAACCTGTGAACTCTTGCAGAACTCACTGTGATGGAGTGAAATGGGACTGTCACACCCTGGTCTACAGGCTCTAACGATGGAATTCGGGCACTTCGGACAACAGAAGACTTCTGGGTTGTCTGCGAATTCGGGCACTTTGTCCGCCATACTGCACCTGGCGATTCCCACATGTAAACACGCTCGCACAGGCAGTGGACCGAACAATGTCAAGCCCGCAACTGAATGATCGGACAAACGAGCTCAAAAAACGTTTCCGCAGCGGCCAGTTTCCGTCGAGTGCATGGTGAAGACGACCTGCGATATCGACATCACAACTTTACGGTTGTCTCCTGGCATCAGTCGTTGCATACAGTCATGTGTGTATGCTCCCAGGAGCACAGTTACTTAGTTAGTCCACTGATCCCATGCAGAAGAATACAAGGCCAATCAAGACACACGTCAGCGGCAGCATTGCAGTGACGATGGTAGGGAAGCTAATGATGCTAACTACAGCTGTCTACTAAGTACTGTCCGCACTGTTGCAGGCGGTCCCCTTAGGTCCCCTGCCCGTTTGTTCATGGATGAGAGCTGGATGACAGCTGGACCGACGAGCCAGTCGTGTCCATGGATGACATCGAAACCACCTGGCGGGCAAGTGACATGCATCACATTATCTTCAGGCTATGTTCACATCATCTTCTGCTAACAACGGAATAGGGAAAGTTGTCAGACTGTAAAACTTCCGTTGCTACTGTGCAACCGTGTGTGCGCGTGTGCCTTCTGACTTGTGTCCTTCTCACGAATGAGGATCACCGGCTCACCAAGAAAAAAGTGCAGCACGAGCCTACACGGCTTTCCATGTGCAGGAAGTGTCCGACCTTAGTCCCGCATGCTGACGGCTTCTAGGCCAGGGTTGCACTTCAGGGCCGAATTTGCCCAGCCCGGCACGAAGGCAGCACACATGTTCTCGATCTCCCTTACGAAATCGCTGTCGGTGTTGAAGTTCACCTTGAGCACTGTTGGCGCAAGGAAAACCGACGCTGCCTTGCAGGCAGCATCAAGTGCAAGAAGACATACCGGTGCCCACCTCATGGTAAATGACTCCCATGATGTCGTTCCTCAGCATTTGATAGTCTTGGAGTGAGAGCGTGTACATTTACCACGATATTTTGGCTTACTAAACAGCCAAGCTTCTCCCACGTGCGATTCTGCGTAGATCTTGTGAAGATGTGCACAGTATGACCTGCACATTGGATCCTCTCCTAGGCAAAAACAAAACCACTATCCAGCCTCAAGGAATAACACTCCCGGAGTTCAACACGCTTTGCCACAGATGTTCGCATCGACAGCCTAAAACGGATCTTTAGATGCGACGCGTTTTGATGGCGATAGACCATAAATTATCGAACTCAGAAATCCCCTCAATTTGAAAACCCTAAATCCATAACAGGAACCCGAAAACTGGGAAAACAATCTGAACCCTCCACCGCCCAGACCCTGCAAGAAGGGAGGTTTCGAGGTCTCAGAAACTGCAGGTGCAAGCCTGCTTTGTGCAGAGCACCAGCCAGTTCGGTAACCTTGGAAGCGAACGGGCTTGGGGTTTTCGTGTCTAGGGGGATGGGTTATCAGATGTTTGAGTTGATGTAAGTATGATCTGTGAAAGTGGTGACGTATCGGAACTCCGGGATATGGTCTCGGGACACACCTCGACACGAAGCTCAACCTGCACCAGGCAAGTCATTTCTTGCTGCCTCACTCCCCCAATTTCAGCTCTAGTTTGCATATTTTGCCAAGTCAGATTGATTTTCTCCAAACCTGCAACCGTACTCTGCAAAAAATATTTCCTGGGGGTACCAACAACCTAAACCCAAAAGCCGAAACATTCCCTGCCACATCTGGGGGGCTTGCGTGCGGTGCGACACCACCTGCTGCGATGGTGTGCAGGGTCTCCCACCTGAAGCCGAGTGTCAGAACGATTTTGGTGAGTATCGGGTTAAGAAGGTATAATTGCACGGCACACTGGAACCGGGCAGTCTTTGTTACAGGGGGGTTACGAAATGACATATCTATATATATATATGCATATGTATATGTATGTATGTCTATATATATACACACACATATATTGAAGAACCCGAGGAACAGCATTGGAAATTATTCAGGCGATTATATGACTTCAACTTAGAGCCCATCGCACTTAGCTGACCCTTCTGTCAACCCAAAAGAAGGATCCATATCAGTTCTCGACGGGAATGATCCGGTGGTCCCATCGCTGACGAAGAGACATCTTCTGACCATGACTGCAGTTCTTGCGATTTTTGTCGTTACTACTGTCATTGTCAATAAGTCTCACTCCTGTCTTCTTCTTGCTCTTCTGCCCGTCAGATACTCCCCACAGAAACACCCCGCTAAGGCCGCAGCGACAGGAAGGCAATCTTCAAGGGCCTTCGTCCGACGGCCTCACGTATTTGGGTTTGGGTTCCGTAAGTCTGGGCTCTCCGCTTGAAGAGTCGAGGTTCTCGATCATATTCATACCAAGGATGGTGGGGGGGGGAGGTCATGATACAACAGCCATATCTGGGCTGTATGGGAACGCCGGGAATGCGATTACGAATTGAATTAATACTGGTACTATTCTCATATTATTCCGACACCTGTGTTACACAAGTCACTATCCGTTGATGCAGCCCACCCAGGATGCTTCATTCTCTCACCCTGTCGGGGTTCGTCTAAGTTTAGCGTAAAGGTCTTGTTCACGGCTGTACAGGTTTGTGGGGGTTCCGAGGTTTGGGCCTCGATTCTTCGGGGGTTCGGGTGCTGTTTGGGGTTTATAGGGGCCTGGGGCCGAAGATCGAGTTTCAGGGCCCTTCTGTTCCAGAGAGCAACCCGAGTTTGAGTCTCCTCCGTGGGCTAAACAACCGGGCGATACACTTCTCCATCTGCAATATGTGTGTGTGTGTATATATATATATATTTGTATGTATGTATGTATGTATGTATGTATGTATGTATGTATACATATATATATATATAGCGAATAGTCAAGCAAGAACATGCGGTAATTGGGCAAGTAGTAGCCGACACGCAGAAAGTCTGACGCAGGTACGCTCTGCTAAGCTCTGAGCGCAATGATCGAGCGACTCCATGTAACCCAGAATCTTCTCTTTGGGCATCAAGTTCTTCACCTCGGTGGAGGCTCTGTCAATCCTGCGCCGTGCCTTCTACGCAGCTTCGCGTGGCCCGGCCTCGCAAATCGTGTCAACAATGGTCTTCATGCCCCACTGCTCATCCCGACCTGGAGCAGGCGGCACGCAGTTGTCGACCGATGCTACACGATTTTGCAGCACGCGGTGCGGCCGTCTTTGCTGCAACGCCAAACTCAACCCTAAACCCTATAAGCCCGTTAACCCTATAAACCCTAAACCCCTAAACCCTAAACCCCAAACCTGTAAATCCCCAAATCCCTAAACCCTGTAAACCCTAAGCCAAGGCCGCGGCACTTCGAAACAAGCTCGCGGTAGAGACTGGGAGCATTCGATGCCTCCACGTCTGACGGTGTCAGAACCGCCAAGGGCCAAGTTTAGGGTTGTAGGGTTTAGGGTTTAGGGTTCAGAAGTGCATGAAGCAAGTCTACCCCTTAGCATCAAACTAGCCCAAAAGCCTTAAATAGTAGTGTCTTTGGGCCCAAAAGCTTTGAAACATGAGTCCTTTAAGGGTAAGACTGCTGCAAAGAGGACTCATCCTTACACCGGAAAGCTAGCTGAGGACCATCAACGTCCCAAGTACAGCAACCCTAAGCCTGATCCCCTAAACCCCTAAACCCCTAAACTCTAAACCCCTGAACCCTAAACCCTAAACCCCTAAACCCCTAAACCCTAACCCCTAAACCCCCGCAGCTCGCAGGGAACCCATGGCCTGACGATAGTCGAAGCCGAGTCCACCTTCTTCCACCGAATCGCAGAGGTGTGGGTACATGGTCGACTCCTGAAGCAGGGTCTCTGCGTGTCTATATATATATATACACTTATAGAGGTATATAAAGAGTATACGCACACACACATATATATATACATACATACATACATATACATATATATATATACATACTATACTATACAATAATAGTAATAGTAGTAATAATAATAACAAAAATAATAATTATAAAATATATATATATATATTCACACACACTCATACAGTGTTCCATACGGCTTCTTTTAAGCTTATCTGTGAGGTATAGGTCGCTGTCTTTCAGGGCTGGTACTGGGTTCACGAGCTTGAATGAATTGTTTTACATGTGCTTGTGAGGTCTAGTGGAGGCTCATCGAATCGCTGTCATCTCTCGCAGCTTGGGGATTGTTAGCCTTGCGGTCCGAGGGTCTCGGGATGTACATCTTGGGGCTCGAAAGTTTGGATTTAACACTCAAGATGTATCATTATTGTTACCCGGATTGCCTTCCGCGTAGTTTCAGTTCTGCGTGTCGAGGGACCTCGGCCACTGTCCGGGCGTACTTGTCCAGCTGGTGGATGAGTGAGTTGGCCTGCATCAAGTACTGGACGCCAGCCTCCACGATAGCCAGGGAGCTGGCTACGGCTCAGGGCTCAATGGTGCAACGAATGGAAGCTGGGGTGACAACAAGACTTGCCGTCATTATCGCTGTGCCTCCTCTTGCTGTGACGGTAGTTATGGAGACGTGAATGGTCATGATGACGATGATGATGCTGGCGATGATGGCTTCAAAGCTGAAGGCCCAGTCTGAAGTTGACGCATCGTTGGGGTTGCGCCCGTCCCTCATGTCAACAGACTCCTAGCAGAAAACGCACCCTACAAGGAAGGCAAAGCTTGTGCGCCTTATCTGTCTTGTCATCGGTCGACAGAAACTCTTCCATCTCTGCAGGATCGGATGGCACAAACCTCTGGGGCGCAGGGCTTTAAGCCTTGATGGCTTTAGGTTGCTGTAGGGTTTAGGGAAGTTTAGAGTTTTAGGATTCAGTGGTGAACAAAGAATATCCTGTCTCAGCACAGAATAGCGGAGGAACGATAGCCGGAACAGCACATTTCATCATTACTCTCCCCACCAAGGCAAACATAGTGGTACTGTTGAAAGTACTAGGTCACAGTAGTGGTAGCTGCAGAGTAGTGGTAGCTGCAGCAGTGATGGCTGTACTCTGCCAAATCTGGTAGAGGTGGTGGCGACAATGTCGTCATCGTGTCAGCAAGTAGCGGCAGTAGCAGCAGCAGCAGCAGCAGCAGCAGCAGCAGTAGTAGTAGTAGTAGTAGCAGCAGCAGCAGCAGCAGGAGGAGGAGGAGTAGTAGTAGTAGTAGTGGTGGTGTAGTTGTAGTTGTTGTAGTGGTTGTTGTACTGGTGGTCAAGTCTCGCCTGCCGCGGTCGGCCCAGATAGTGGAGGCAACGTCCAAGAACCTGCTGCAAAGCAGAGAGACCGTCGAAAATCTCGAGACTAGCGAGTGGCGGGCTCTGCCTGAAGCCATCAATGCCGAACTGGTCCATCCAAAACGCGATGCTGGAAAGCAGGTAGCGCTGAACCTGGAGTATAGATTCCCTGTCTATCATCAAAGGCAAGACATATCGGAACTAATTTGCCTGTGCGACACGAAGAGCAGGAGTTGCTTCAACAAGAAATGACAATAGTGACACCATGATGAGACTCCTCCGCCTCCCGACCACGGCCAACAATACAACCAACTCGGTCATCGCCACCCACATGAGTCAACAGGCCACACAGCAATTACGGCTCAGACACACACACACACACCAGCAAAAATAATACCAATCCCCAAAACAGCAGCAGGAAGCAGAACAACAAGAAGCACGACAGCAAACTTGAGGAAAGACTGAATCACATTGAGTCATTGAATGGCATAGTATAGAATAGTTAGTCGAGTTGTACCCTGAAAAACATCCGGTACTCTATGGCAATGCTAGCAGCTAACAGCAACGATATTGATTGAACAGAGCGTTTTTGTGGTGTCATGAAGCTGGTTCTGCAGGTGAACATGTATTAGATGGTGATCTTGGTGGCGAAGATAATAACAACGGCGATGACTGACAATGATGACAGTGGTGATGATGCTGACAGGGGTGGTGCTGCTGCCACCGGCGGTGCTGCGTCAGTACATGAAGGCAACAAGAGCATGACAATCAACAATCTGGACAAAGTATTTTCTCGTGAATCCTGCTTCAAGTCCAGAAAGAAAAAATCATGGTCCACCGCGCTTTCCTCAAACCGCTGCAGTCCTCGAAAGCCCTAAGCCTCCCAGAAAGCCGCTAGATCCTGCAGGCCACAGGCTGCCCCGGCCTCGCCCTCCTCGAAGTTGTAGATGCGGGCTCCGCTGATGGGATGGAAGCCCTTCCTTCAATTCCCAGGCCATCATGTGTCTGTCAGGTCACAGGTTGCAGGTTAGTCCTACAGCCGTGATGAGGGCGGGTGCAGATGGTGTCTCAATCGTTCGGGGTGCTGCCGAACTACGTCAGCTGCCAGCCTGAACAGTGAATGTGCCCTCAGAAAAATTGCAAACTCCCAAACCGCCCGCCAAGATGCAGCCCTAAACAATTGTAAGTCCTATAGGCCCTGAGCTCTAAACTTCAGTGTGTCCAAGGAGCTCTCCCCAGTGGAAAAATTGTCCTCCCAGCCCATCCTCGGAGGCTTGAACGGCTCAGGGATTGGGCTTTTGGAGCTTTAGGCTTCATTTGGGGTTCAAGGGTTTCGAAGGTGTTTAGCTGGAGTGCTAAAGGTCTGTGGTTTGGGCACATGGGCCCGAACTAGAGCCTTGGATTTGGATGCGCTCGGAAGTGCAGGCCTTGAGGTCCTTAGAGCTGCCATTCGGGACGTCCCCCATCCAACGGTACGTCCATTTTATGACTACGGCGGCTCCAGCTTGCGACAGCTATGGCCTAGTCTATTCTCAAGGCAGTAGCAGGCGTAGCAAGATGTACTGAGCGTTAGGACAAAAACTGACGACCAAACTGGATTAGAAGCGCATCTCTTAACTGAGTAGCCTACATCCAAAAAACCCACAGCCGTAGATGCTGGACTGTTTCATTGAGCCCGAACCCTCCTCAGACTCCTCAGGCAGCAAAGAAGCCCCATACCTTTGCGGGCAGTGAGTAAGCCCCGCAGGCAAGAAGACGGCTCCGAAATGTCCTCCTCCTCCTCCATATAAGCACCATGAACTATCATTGTCATTATCCTGATCGTCCACGTACTCATGCTCCGCCTTGCCCTCGTCGTCAGCATCATCGCTGCGCATCTGCAGTTTCAGAATCCCATCATCATCATCATCATCATCAGGAGTATCATGCTACTCTGCATCATCTATATAACCTAGCCGCCCTACATCCTGAGCTTGCATGGCAGTCGCTGGGCCTCGGCCGAGGCTGCCCCGCTGTGAGGCAGGTCCATGAAAACCTTGTAAGCAGGTGCCCAGTGAGGATCCACTCTGTGGGATTTCTTCGGGATTTAGGGCTTTAGGGCTTTAGGGAGTTGGGCATGCGGTGGCTGAAGATTCAAATTCTGGGTCTTGTTCGGCTTCTTGCAGCAGGTACATAGAGTGATGACTGTGGGCCTGTCCTTCGAGCAGTGTATGGCGCTCACATTGTTTCACAGGGTCCGACGTATCGCTCTTACAACTGCGATCGGTCAAGCGCCGATAAAGGTCAGAGAGGTCCCTAGTCCCTACCCCTGCTGCTAGCCCGAAATCCTCAGACTCCAAACCAATCCCTGACACGAAAAAGCCAAGCAATCCTCAAACCGACAGAAAGTATGCCCACATTTACTAGGACGAAAAGCCACGACATCTTTTCAACTGACCGAATCCAGCGACAGAAACAGCAAGTCACCCAGACTTAGCTGTGCACTTCCTGCTACGCCGGAGAGAAAACCTTTGCACAACCCTGGCAACCTAAGCACACCAAAAGACTTCTAAACAGCACTCCAAGAAGCTCCAGCCACAACAGCATGGATTGCCTTCAAGCTCTAAACAGTTTGACCAGCCCTAGCCGAACCCCGAAACCGTAAACCGCAGAAGCCTGCACTCAACCCTGAACTGTGGAATAACCCTGCAAACACCAGCATTCAGCGCCAGACTTGGAGTCCCAAACGGTGAGCCTGTTGTAGCGGTTTAGGGTTTTAAAGGGTTTAGGGTTTAGGGTTTTAAAGGGTTTAGGGTTTAGGGCTTAGTGCTCTAAAGGGCTTTCGGGTTTAGGGTTTTTGAAGGGTTTAGGGTCTTAAGTGTTTCTTTGAGGGCTGCTTCGAGGCATCTTGCAGGTTTGCTGTAAGGGTACTATACCTATCTGTTGGGGTACCTTATACTGTAGGATGCTAACTATGTAGTTGGTTAGGTTAAACCACAGAAAGGAACTACATTGGAGACTATAGGTAGGGGCTTGTGGTTCAGGGCTTTGGGTTCTGAACTTCTTAGAGCCACTATAGCTTCTTATGGTTTGATCCTGGTTTTGCTGAACTTCTCATGACCACTAAGGACTCTTATCTGTCACTGAATGTGCTTGGTTTTAAAACCTTGTGACCACTGCTATTTCTTGTTGTGTAAATATGTTAAGAACTAATCACCACTAGTGATCACTTATCAAACTCTGGACACTGCCAACTACCAACTCGGTGTATTTAAGGTTATTCGGCATCAAACTGTTAAACAAGGGGTGCTCGCAGGGCTTTGTGAGATTCTGAATCCTGAGCACATGGGATGCAGGGATTAGGTTCAGTCGTTTCGGGTGGGAAGTGTGGGTTTGGAACACACGCGGCACATATCAGAGTTTCAGGGTTTAGGGCCACTCCTCCCGAAACACAGGCTGACCAACATCTCCAGCCTGAAGCACCAAGCTCTTCAGCTCCTGGCAAATGCGCCACACATAGAGAGAGGAGCCCTCTTTCTCAAGCCTAAACCCTATAATGCCCTACAAACTCGTAGTCCAAACATGTAAAAATCCCAAACCCGATAAACTCCTAGTCCAAAAATGTACATCCCAAACTAGCTCCTCCGTGGTTCCAAGATCTTTTGCGAGGGCGTAGAGACTCACGGGCTGACGGCCCAGCGTATTGTTGTCCTGCGCTTGGGTAGCTCGGGCTATAGGGCCTGGGCTTTTTTCAAAAGATTTTGGAGTCTTCAGGTTTTGTGTTGAGACTTCTGCAGATAAGAGCACAAGGGAATCTTCTCGGAAAACAGTGACACTCTGCATGAAGGGCACCACACACGAGAGAGAAGAGTGCAAAGGTCTATCCATCTTAACACACGTAATTAATTAACTCCCCAGACACAGACTCCGTTCAAAGTTCTTCTTTCACAGTTATGATTTGTTTTGTTTGTGTCTCTGTGTGTGTGTGTGTGCGTGCTTGTGTGCGCGCGTGTATGTGTGGGTGTGTGTATCTGTATCTTTCTCTGTGTTTGTGTGCGCGCTCCTGTGCCTATTCCCTTTTCAGACAGTAAGAAACGCAATGTTCGCAGATGCCGGAAAAGGCATACACACACACATGTAGGTATGGAGAACGAAAGTGCTTTATGCAAGTATACATGTGCTGTGTCAGTGTTGCGCAGCCGTAGGGCATGCTATACAGGACGCGGATGTCTGGACACTCAAAATTTAGCTTCTAGAATAACAAGAAGATCTGAGGGCAGCCGTTCATGCAGTGCAAGTCCTTGCATTCAAGCAATCCCATCAGCAGCAATGCCGTGTAGCCTGAAGACGAAAACAGGCCGGGGTGCCAAGTTCATGGTTCATGGAATGCAAGTGCAAGAAGGTATGTGCTGCCTAACCGAGGAGACCCTTTCAAGACATAGAAGCTAACACGAGCCTAGGCTCAAGCCCGAATACCCTGTTTCAACCAGTTGCCGTGCTTCTAAACGTACATGGACTGTTCAGATCAGCATCACTGCGATGATGACAGCTTGCATGCCACGTCCCAGTTTTTCATGACTATGACCTCAAGGGTCATTATGAGCGTGATGGCACGTGACAAGTGCGGCGGTGGCGAGCATGAACGTCATTCTCTTCGCCATCACCAGTACGTCACCCTCAGCACCAGTGCCCGTCAGGTATCATCTATACTCTCCATCTGTCCCTTTTCCATCCATCCAGCCTGCCAGCTAGCCAGCCAGCCAGCCATGCATCCATCCATCCATCCATCCATCCGTCCATCCACGCACCCACAAGGCATATGCCTTCAACATCCCGAGTCTTTATCACCATCGCTACTGGTGCGATTACTGTTCCAGTACTTAGTTCTTCTGTTGCTGCCACTACTGCTGCTGCTGCTGCGACAGATACCACTACCACTCCCACCACGACTACGAAAACGACTACGACTACGCTCATGCTACTCCTACTACTACTACTACTACTACGACGACAACGACGACTACTACTACTACTAGTGCTGCTGCTCCTACTACTACTACTACTACTACGACGACTACTACTACTACTACTACTACAACTACAACTGCTGCTGCTGCTGCTACTACTACTACTACTGCTGCTGCCACTGCCACTCCCACTCCTACTACCACTACCACTACGACTACCACTACTGCTACTACTGCTACTACAACGACCACTGCTGCTGCGACGACGACTACGACGACTACGTACTACTTCTGCTCCTACTCTGTGTAGCTCCTTCCCTTCTAGTCTTCTAGCAGGTACGGGCACAGATCCGGGAGGGCGTCCGAAAAACCGTTCCCTAAGGGTCCATGTACCCAAATAGCATATACTTTGGCCCCAAAGTACCTATGTATACGTATAGGGACCACTTAAAGGCAAAGTTTTTGGGTAGATGGACCCTTAGGGGTTGAGATCCCCAAGGACCCTGCAGAGAGAGTGCAGCAGCCGTTCAGGGTACCGCGCATCAACTCGGAGACGTACCTGAGGCTTTCAGCCAAGAAACCGAGCCCTCAAAACCCCTAAACCCTTGACCGCCTTAATAAACCCCTAAACCCTAAATTGATAAACAGCTAAGCCAGACACTCCCACCCAGGCCAGAACCCTCAAATCCGAAACGCCTGAACCTGGAAACCCGAAACATCCCTAAATCATAGTTTCGGACTGCCCATTCGTGAAAAGGATCTTAGCTGCAGAAACCATTCCGGGGGAGTGTAGGGTAAAGGAGCCATGAACGGAAGATCGCTTTTGAAGCTCGCTGGGCGGATTGCTAGATGGATTCTACCCTAAGGGTCCAAAGGACCCAATAAGAAGGTACTTTGGTTGCGGATAGTAGTTATTTAGGTGAATATTTGGGAGAGCCGGGATAGTATATGATTACTAGGTACTTGGACCCTTAGGGCTACATCAGAGCCGGGTGCTTTCATCGAGGTCTGGCCGGGCGCACGCCTCTCCCTGCAGCTCTGACGGCCAGGAGAGTGGGTGAAGTGGGGCAAGATCCTCGGGCTTTCCAAGGTGTGGAGGATAGGGTGTATACAGTCTAGGGTCTAGGGGGGGTCCTATGCCAGGTGTGTGTTTAAAGGAAATTTTCGGGTTTCTATGAAACTGTGTTTGAAAGTTTGGTGTTTTCAGAGGCGGTTTGGGGTGAAGGTTTTCTTCGAAGCTTCGGAGACGTGTCCTAAAAGCCTTCTCCTTGGGCCTTGAAGCTTAGATGGAAAGCTCGGGACCTTCAGCGGTGACAACATTTCTTCTCCAGGATTTGAGCCTCAGGGCTTCTGCTGCAACCCAAACCCTCAGGGTCCATGTACTCAAACGGTATATACTTTGGGCCTAAGGTAGTCCCTGATTTGGTACTTGGGGACCAAAGTACATGCTATTTCGGTACATGGTCCCTTAGGGAGATGGATCACAGCCTGGAACTTCGGCTTGTTGTACTTTCGGAGCTACTTCTTCCCATCCTAAACCTAAGCCCCACCAATCACTTTAAATCTACCCAAGGCACCAATCTTGAAGCCCAAAACCCGAAACCGCCCTAGGGGGTTTCTTAAAAAGCCCGCAGGTGTAACTACAGCGAATGGTCCTTGCCGCCCGGCAGCGACCGGATGTAGGGTGCAAACCTTGAAAGAAACTCTAAGCTTGCTCGAACACATCAGTTTGCCGTTTCGGGATTTGCTGTTTTCAGCGGTCATAGCTTGTCCCGTTATAACATGTTCATCCGCAGTCATCTAACCCGAAATCCCGTGACAAGTGTGCTTGTGACAAAATCCAGCGAAGGTCTCCGCTGGCTGAGTAGGAGTTCACCTGAACTCCGTGCTCGTTATCGGGTAAGACATGTGAGGTACCCTGCAAGATGCACTAAAGAAAAGGTCTATAGCCTGGTGTAGAGCGAGGAAATCACCACCACCTACACCACTGAAGCGGTGGTGGCGGTGGTGGTGGTGGTGGTGGTGGCGGCGGCGGTGGTGGTGGTGGCGGTGGTGGTGGTGGTAGTGATGGTGGTGGTAGTACTGGTAGTAGTAGTTGTTGTTGTTGCAGTTGTAGTTGTAGTAATAGTTGTAGTAGCAGTAGTAGCAGTAGTAGTAGTAGTAGTAGTAGTTGTTGTTGTTGCTGCTGTTGTTGTTGTTGTTGCTGCTGCTGTTGCTGCTGTTGCTGCTGTAGTTTGTCCTTGTCACTACGATCGATTGTGGTGGTTGTAGTGGTGGCAGAGTGGCATCTTTGTTGTAGTCGCCTGCTCGTCACTGTCGCACGAGTGATCGTACACCTCAACGTAGGAGATTGAGAAAACAAGAAACCAAGTATATAAACTCCACATGGAGGGCATTTGCTATAACGAACCTAAAAACCCCTAAACCCTAAATCCCTATACCCAAACTCAACCCTAAACCCTAGACCCTAAATCCTAAACCCCTACTCTAAGCCCTGAGGCCTACGTTAGGTGTCCCGAAAATATCCTGAGCCCCAAGAATGCCACGAGGTGGCTCGGAGTCCGCGCCTGCTGAAAGCTCGGACCTCGGAGTCTGCTGAGTTCCGTTTTGTTTAAGGGTTTAGGGTTTAGGGTTTAGGGGTTGAAGGGGTTAGGGGTTGAAGGGGTTAGGGGTTTAGGGTTTAGGGTTTAGGGGTTTAGGGTTTAGGGGTTGAAGGGGTTAGGGGTTTAGGGGTTTACGGTT